AGAAATTTCTTCTCTGACTTCACATGTACTTACCTGTGGCCATTCTCCCAACCAGCTCCCACTTATACAGAACAGCAACTTATAATTGTTTCGCTCCACTCCTTTAGAGAAAATTTAGATTGCTCAAGTTATGGCTTCTAATTCTCAATAACAGTTCCTTTATTCTTGATAGTAGCTGAACTTCAATGCACCTTCTCATGGTAAAGTCCCATAAAACATTCCACCCTCTTGCTCCAAATCAGAATGTTCCTTGGAGGTTTATCAGGCCAGGCATTCTCAAATAAACGTGTTTGGCTTGATTTTCTTCCAGTATTTGGTTCACTGACTTGGATAGCCATTTCCAGACATCCCTTCATGTGTCCCCACCCTTGAGTCTCACAGAATGGCCACTTGTGGAAGGCCCCTCCTGAGCAGCACTACACTCTTTACATTGAAGCAAGGTCTATGTCTTTATTCTCTCTCTTCTTTGCCCTTAGTATAAGCCTCTTGATTTGATTTGTTTCACTACTCAGTGTTATCAGGACAAGGTGGGATTGCAGTGCTAAGGAGATCAAGGTTTTTTGTTTCTTTTATACTTTTACCATTTGAATATGAACAACTACAAGTCATATAATGAACTTCAGAGTCATTATTTGCCTTTTAACATGACAAGGATTATGGTGCCAATAGCACTAAACATTGAAATTCTGGTAGGATTTTATGAAAGACAAGTTAGAATGTCAGTGACTATTCAGGGGAATTTGTGATATGAATAAGACAGTCTATTCGTGTGGTACCTTATAATCAAAAGGTTCAAAGATTCCAAATATTTAATCATTAGCATCTTTAAAACTATTGTGAAGATAGCTTTAGAAACATAGAAAAACTCTAAAAAGCAGTAGTATTTGGACTTACTTCAAGATGACTTGGACTGTCTGAATCCAGAACCTTCTGAGTTCCAGAAAAAGAAAAAGTCACTGATACTGGCAGAAGGCAAAAAACTTGATGACTTGAGCAACATGAGCCCCACATACTCACTATAGTCCCCCTTACACAAGTCCCAAGTCCCATGGGTGGGGGGACATAAATGGGCTGGCACAGATGTCTTCATATGCACTGGGTTATATTATAAGGGAGGAATATTTCTATCATTATGCTATAGGAGCTTAGGAAACCTGAGTCTTTATAATGGGCAGTAAGTAAGCATAGCTTTTATTTCAGAAGGAGGTATCTTTGTTATATTGGAGAGTAAGTATACCTTTCTTCCTTTACTCTGGATGGAAACACTATCTCTATTTTCTAAAACCCTAAGTAAGCCTGTCCTTTGCTTTGGAGGAAAATGCCATGCCTTTTTTTTTTATTTATTTAAATTCCAGTATAGTTAACATACAGTGTTAGTTTCAGGTATACAATATAGTGATTCAATACTTCTATATATCACCCAGCACTCAACATGATAAATGTACTCTTAATCCCCTTCACCTATTTTACCCATTCCCCTATCTACCTCCCCTCTGGTAACCACCAGTTCATTCTCTATATGTGAATCTGTTTCTTTGGTTTGTCTCTTTTTATCTTTGTTTATTTGTTTATTTGTTTTGTTTCTTAAATTCCACACATGAGTGAAATCATATGGTATTTGCCTCTCTCTGGCTGACCTATTTCACTTAGCATTATACTCTAGATCCTATGTTGTTGCAAATGACAAGATTTCATTCTTTTTTATTGCTGAGTAATATTCCATTATACACACACACACATATATATGTATATATATATATATACACACACACACACACACACCACCTCTTCTTTATCCATTCATCTATCATTGGACACTTGGGTTGCATCCATATTTTGGCTATTGTAAATAATGCTGCATTGAACATAGCGATGTATATATCTTTTTAAATTAGTGTTTTTGTATTTTTAAGTAAATACCCAGTAGTGGAATTACTGGATCATATGGTAATTCTATTTTTAATTTTTTAAGGAATCTCCATACTGTCTTCCACAGTGTCTGTACCAGTTTGCATTCCCACAAATAGTGCACAAAGGGTTCCTTTTTCTCCATATCCTCATCAAAACATGTTGTTTCTTGTGTTTTTGATTTAGCCATTCTGACAGGTGTGCAGTGTGCCTTTTCTGTTTTTAAAGGTTTTATTTGTTTGTTTATTTATTTATTTATTTATTTATTTAGAGAGAGGGAGTGTTGTAGAGTGGGGGGTGGCAGAGGGAGAGGGAGAGAGAGAATCCTAAGCAAGCTCCACACCCAGCACGGAGCCCAACACAGGGCTTGATGCAGAGCTCAATCTCATGACCTCAAAATCTTGACCTGAGCTGAAATCAAGAGTTGGCTGCTTAACCAGCTGAGCCACCCAGGCACCCCTTTTCTGTTTTTAAAGATTCTTAACTATACAGACATCCTTCAGGACAGTCCAGGACAGTGTCTCTCTTGTAGAAAGTACAAAAAATGTCAGAGACATATGGACAATTATCTCTCAACTCTTCTTTGAACATTCTTTTCTTCCCCAATAAAACAAGAGCGTTCTTCCACTTGTGATAGTCAATGATTTTTTAGAAAGAGATGATTTGTATGGGCTTAAGAATCTGAGGAAGGGGGGCGCCTGGGTGGCTCAGTCGTTAAGCGTCTGCCTTCGGCTCAGGTCATGATCCCAGAGTCCTGGGATCGAGCCCCACATCAGGCTCCCTGCTCCGCGGGAAGCCTGCTTCTCCCTCTCCCACTCCCCCTGCTTGTGTTCCCTCTCTGGCTGTCTTTCTCTCTGTCAAATAAATAAAGCCTTTAAAAAAAAAAAAAAAGAATCTGAGGAAGGGTCTATAGGAAGTTGGCAACGAGAGATGCTGAGCATTCGACAGTTTTTAAAAAAGATGGAATTGAAGAATGAATGTATATAAAGCATTATACAAGTAGAAAAGTTTTATCATCCCTATGACAAATTCACAGTAACACTTACCTTATTATAGGCATGTCCTGCAGACGGCATCTCTGGTTAACATTTCCTTAATAGAATACCTCTTGGGTTTTAGTTAACCAAATTCCAACCACATATACAATAGGCATATCTACCAGCACAATGTTTTCAGCCAAAATTTATATAAGAAAATTTTATATATGTATTTCCAAATCTCAATATAAATCTTTAATAAAATTTCAAGTGGGCTAAATCTCAGGTTACATTCCAAACACAGTGGATGAAGATCACTTCAGTCTAACCCTGATTTGAGAGAAAAGTTTTCAAGATATTTAGTAAGGCACAATATCATAAATATTTCCAAGTGTCCTTTTATCTATTTTTACATTGCTCTGAGGAGAGGGCAGTATTTTGATTATATCTTCACCAGATGACTTAATTCACTTCTTTAAATATATAGTATCACCAGCCTAGATTTGAAAAATCATGTCATCTAAACTTTAAGTACCAGTGTGTCAGAGGGAGGCTAAGTATAACCATAGCATATTTACATAATTATTTGGCCAAAGGGAAAGTACAAAGAAGAATGCACAATGTAAGTTGGCAAGAGAACTGAAAACTACAACCAAAGGTATGATAAAAATTGGAAGAGTGCTAGTGTATGACAAGAATGCCCCCATAGAAATGACAGTTGGCCCTGAATGAACTGGGCTCAAAGCCTACCTTGCTTTTAGATATTTCAGTTAGGTGATCCAATACATACCTTTATTTTTTGAGCCAAAGTATGCTGGGATCTTTCTTACCTACAGCTACAAATGTCCTATCTTATACCATGGGATTCTCCAACTGGAAGAACAGATTCTGGTCCTCACAGTTCCTTTCCAAAGGAGGAGGTCAAACTAAAATAGGAATTGGCACAAGCACAGTCACTGTGAACTGTTCTAACCCATCTTTATTACTTTAACCAGGGCAGAAAATCAAGACCCATGGGGTTGTACATCATAAATTCATTTAAACTGATAGAAAAGTGTTTCCACCAAAAATGCTAAATGGGTATTTAGTCAAGGCAGTCTATCTTTGAAAGAGCAAAAAGAATTTAACAAATATTAATTTTTAAAAAGTGACAATATCCATTCATCTCATCTATTTATTCAAAAAGTAATAACCCTGCTTAGCAATGTTGTAGTATTCTTTGTTCATATGGCAAATTTTGTCAGTGGTCTCATATGACAGCTTCTTTTCCAGATTAGGGAACTAGCCAAATACAGTTTGTTTCACAATAGAAACATGTGGCTAGGGAGGGGTGGTGATAAGATGGAAGACAGATTAGTGGTCTTGATATACACAAATACATGAAAAGTCCGGGTCTTGCCTTCAGTCAAAGGGAATTTCTTCAAAAGAACATCATTTTTTTTCACTCAAAAAATATTAACAAAAATCCTATCGGATGTTAAAGTCATCCCAACTCCAGTCCTGACTGAGGTCAGAATCTTTTAAGGACAAAAGAAAGAGGACCCAGTAGAGTCTGTTCTCACAAGTGCCCCCTAGGGACAGGGCAATGCATAGTTCAGTGGACCAGTGCCAACTGACCATGGCAAGGAAAGTAACAGAATTTGAAAGATACTAGAAAATTGTACAGTAATTTGACAAATCACTCATATGTCTGTCAAAACTAATAAAATTAGGTCTGCATTTTGATTATCTGTTTTATCCATTTAATTTTTAGATTTATTTGTAGTCTATTTTTCAAAAATTGATGAAACCTATTCATTTTCCTTCACTCTGATAGTTTAGGAAGTACTGTTCTAAACATTATCTGAACCTCTAGACTGGTTGTATCATGCCATCAGAGACCTGGAGGAATTTGTGTGCAGCAAAATGTGTGGGAGAACAAGGTGCACAACCCAAATCCTACATGAACAGTATTGAAACATGTCATCACAAACTTGCTGGTAGTGATACATATTTAGTTACTCTTCCAGAAACCAGGGTTAAAATGGGCAAAAAGAAGACCCACAGAGTCCCTCCCCCAACCACTTCCTCCTCCTCAGAGTTTCTCTATGAGACAGAAGCACACAAGAGAGGTAATTACAGACTAAATTTGTTTATTTTTTATTTTGCCATTTGAAACTTAAATTATGGAAGACACAGAGGAGTTTTAAATAAGGCTGAGAAGAAGGGAAGGTCATAATGAGGTGGTCATGTTTAGAGGTATAGGAGAATGTTTCTTGCGGGGGAATTCTTTACACTTGGTCCCATGTCCATGATGAGTTGCATGCAAAACTCAGGTTCCTCACGTCTCCCCAGAACTAGTCCTTGAACTTGCAGACATAGGGTAGCTTCACAAAACAGTTGTAATCTTTCCATCTCAGATATCCTAGAGAGACAAAGGAGCTCAGGTAGATGTGGCTGGTGGAGCTCTTGAACCCACGTGAGAGGCATCCCAGATCCTGCCCTAGGATCCAAAGCCTCTCCCTCATCCTCATCAGTGTCCTGCTCCAGAGGAAGGAGACTCAAAGAAAAGAGAGATGACAGGGGATGGGGGAAGACAAACCAACACTACATTTCCTACCTCAGGAGGATTCTCTAAAGGTCATGCCGAGAAATGGAGAAAAAGAGGATGGAAAAGTCTGGGCAGAAAGTAGCTCCTCTCTTACTTACCTGTGCTTCTTGACAGACTCCCACAATAGCCAGGGTTTGTGATGGTGGAGGGGTCTCTCTCCCAGGCAAAGTAATTCAGCACATCATTGCTACTCCACTCCCATCCACCTGCATTGGGCTCATAGCCCTATAGAAGATGGAGTGTGGTGAGGTTGAATAGCCATGAGAGTTCTCCTTGCATGAACCCCTCCCCAGCATCACCAAATTTGCTCTGCTCATCTAGATGCTTCCCTGGAGCCAGAGCTCTCCTCTGGGAAACTCTTCCCAGCTCCTTCCTCTTATTGGCAAATTCCAAACCAGTAATCACAAAGACCTACAGAACCACCCAGAGTAACATGTTACTGACTGAACAGCAATTAGTGGTGCATTTGTAATTACCACCTGAACCTCAAAGACAGTGTCTGTTCTATAGAGCAAAAATGGATCCTATCTTCACTTAGGATTCCCTCAGCACAATATGTGCAGACTCTGTGAAGCTCAGAGAACTGAATTACAAGGCCTCATGTACAAATTGTGTACAAGCATGACAGGAGGCAGATTAATTTCAGCTGGAGACAAGGGACTTCCACAAAACTCAGCTGGTGAGCCGCTACAGAGCCCTCCCTTTCCCCCTCATGTCCTCCTGGATCTCTGAGCTCCAGGGCTCTTTAAGGCATTTACTGGGCAGGCACAGGGGACAGGGAGTGGGCTTGCGGGGGCAATAGCATCTTGAGAGGTTATGAAGAGAAGATGAGTTCATACCTCTGTGGGGTCATGGAGCCCAATCCAGATATTTGAGTAGGTGTTCGCACTGTTCTTGACTAGGGAGGCCACAAAGTTTGCCTCAGACCCAGTGAGCACAGACACAAGGTGTCCTGAGGACCTCTTCTGGCAGGCCATCTGTGTGGGGAAGCGAGAGACTCAGGGGGAGTCTGAGACATCATTAGGGGGAGGGTAGGCAGAGGTAGGGGAGAAGGGGTATATATGCAAAAGATGTGGGTGCTCAGTCTTGCCCCCAAGAAATTCTGGAGAATGGAACTGACCCCCCTCAGGTCTCTTACGTACTTTCCCTTAAAACCCCTAACTGAAATCCAAGTACTCACATCTGCATCCATCCAGGATTTTGGTGTCATAAACAAGGCATAGCAGTGGGAGGCATAAGCCTTGGAGCCTTTGGGACAGCTGATCCGTGGAGCGGGCACATCCTTCTGGGAGTCTTCACCTAGGGTGGGAGGAAATAAAAGAGAAGGGAGAGGTAAATAGGAGAGTGGGGATCAGGGTAGGGAGGTGACCTAGGGGAATATGTATGAGGCCAGTGCTTGGGAAGTGATGGCAAAGTCCTGACTGCCTCTCCCCATTGCCAATGCTTTTAAGATTTTTTTTATGAACTTTTTTTTTTTTAAAGATTTTATTTATTTGACAGAGACACAGCGAGAGAGGGAACACAAGCAGGGGGAGTGGGAGAGAGAGAAGCAGGCTTCCCACGGAGCAGGGAGCCCGACGCAGGGCTCGATCCCAGGACCCTGGGATCATGACCTGAGCCGAAGGCAGATGCTTAACAACTGAGCCACCCAGGCGCCCCACTTCTAAGATTTCTTGATCTTGAACCAACCCCACTAAATGAGGAACCTTCTCTTTTCTTTTCATCCTTCCCCTTCAAAGTCCAACCCTTCCCCACTCTAGGTTGACCATTCTTGCACTGGGTCCTCATTTTCCTTCCCTGTATCTCATTACTGACCCTTCACGCTTTTCTTCTTTCACCTACCAACACAAATTAGAGTGCTGGGACAAAATGGAAATGACCTCCTTGCAGTGCTAGTGGACCACGGTGATGCTGGCCACCCCTAGTTACCCTGAAGGAAGGAGTAATGATGGACAAGTTATAGGCAGTTTCTTTGTGTGAGGATATGTGTCACCACTTTACCACGGGGGCCTTCCTCTTCTTCTTGGCCCTGAGCATTCACAAGGACCCAGTGCTAGGAACAGCAAAAGCTCACCTTGGACCCGAGCCAGGAACATCAGGCAGGAAAGCAGCATCCAGGACAGGCTGGGGAGGGCCATGGGAGGCAGCATCGTGTCTATGATCTGAGGAAGCAATCAGAGATCACTAAGGAAAGCATGATTGGAGAGAGGGCATGCAGAGATGCCACTCCTCTTCCTTGTCTTTCCATTGTTTAGTCCCCTAGGAACAAATTGATCTCAGTGACATCTATCCCCTTGTATAGCTCTGGAAAGAACTGGAAAATCTGTGGCCCTCCAACCCGCTTGAGAACTGACAAGCTTGCCTGTGCTGAGACCAGAGCTCCTGTGTTTCTGACAGGGATCGTCCTGTACCTTCCCCCAAGTAGGTACAGTATAATTCCTGTCATGTGTCTCATCTTCTCTCAGCTTCTACTCACCTGTCTTGCAGGGATTTGCAATGGTTCGTCAGGTAAGAGAAGACTGGGCTTTTATAAGAAAATTTGAAGGATGGGCACTGAAATGAATTACAGGATTGTGGAGGGGACAGGGGTCATGGGAGGTGCTTGGCATTGGTTCAAGGAGATTACCACCACAGGGAGGAGTCTCTTCCCAGCAAAGACTGAGAATTGCCACAAATATTTCCTCTTTCCCATTCGCAGGTCAGAACTTTCCCAAGGAACAGGTGAAGTTTGTTCTTTCCCTGCCTCTTCTGTGTTAGGGGCTGTTGGCACAAATTGTATTATTAAAAAAGGGGAACATCTAATGGAGTAATTCTTCTGGTTGATATCTCAAGAACTCCCTTCTGTAGGCATACATATATACTTCTTTCTGTCTTGTGCAGTTAAATTAAATAATTTGGGATGATAAGTGGAGGCAAGTATGGCAATTACAAGTATCACAGGTCTCATAGGTGAGAGCATAGAAGGAACTAAAGCCAAGAGTGGAGATGATATTTCAGGGTTGCCTCTTAAACATGGTGGTTAATTTTAAAGAAAACTCAGAATCATCTGATGATTCAATAGTTGAGCCAAGATATTATGGAAAATCAGATGCTTAAACTTGCCTTGCTAGTCTCCTGAGAGATGGAGCTTACCTGATGGATAATTACAATGGGATAAAATAAGAGGCAATGGAAATTAGAGCATAAGGAGGATTAGAGTCAAATGATGCAGAGCCAAAGGAAAAAAAATGAGGGTTAAAGAAGGGTCAGAACAGGAATTGGATGAAATTGTAGATATAGTCCTATATTGCATTTAAGTTAGAGCTGCGACGTCAAGATGTTCACTACCCTGGGCTGCTAACAACCTCCCTTGCAAAGACTATCATTTGGCTCTAGATGAAAAGACATTTATTTCTGTTACATTCTTACTGGGAGAGGGTCCAGTTTCATGTATGGATACTGAGAAAAGTTCCTAGGTCAGATTTACTGCTGAGTTGGCAATTTTGGGAATAACAAGAAACATGTGGCTCATACTATGTGTTTCAGGTTTGGTTTGGCCAGTCCTGGACAAAGTTATGCTGGGATTTTCTACATACCCTCTCACAATAGGTTTTTAGACCAGCCTGTGTGTAAACATCTACGGTAGGGATTTGTGATGAGATCATGCAGTTAAACTCATAATTGATTCATGTCCTCAGAATCCAATGTCAGTAGAACCCAAAAATAATCTAATAAGAAATATAGCTAACAGATTCTTTTGTTAAAAAGGGAAAAGAAAGTATTATGTCACAAAATATATGCAAAAATATGTAAATCCAAAGCCATAACTATAGTGAGAACTCAGTAGAAATTAAAGTTTAAAAGAACTGGAGGAGATTATGCTAAGTGAAATAAGTCAAACAGAGAAAGACAATTATCATATGGTTTCACTTATTTGTGGAACGTAAGGAATAGCATGGAGGACATAGGAGAAGGAAGGGAAAAACGAAGTGGGGGGAGTCAGAGGGGGAGATGAACCATGAGAGACTATGGACTCCGGGAAACAAACTGAGAGTTTCAGAGGGGAAGGGAGTGGGTGGATTGGTGAGCCCGGTGATGGGTATTAAGGAGGGCACTTATTGCATGGAGCACTGGGTGTTATATACAAACATTGAATCATGGAACACTACATCAAAAACTAATGATGTAAAAGCCAAGATGTCCATTGACAGATGAATGGATAAAGATGTGGTGTATACACACACACACACACACACACACACACACACACACACACACACTGGAATATTATGCAGCCATCAAAAGGAATGAAATCTTGCCATTTGCAATGACGTGGATGGAACTGGAGGGTATTATGCTGAGTAAATAAGTCAATCAGAGAAAGACATGTATCATATGACCTCACTGATATGAGGAATTCTTAATCTCAGGAAACAAACTGAGGGTTGCTGGAGTGGTAGGGGGTGGGAGGGATGGGGTGGCTGGGTGATAGACATTGGGGAGGGTATGTGCTATGATGAGCACTGTGAATTGTGTAAGACTGTTGAATCACAGACCTGTACCTCTGAAACAAGTAATACATTATATGTTTAAAAAAAAAAAGAAAAGAAAAAGGTAGCAGGAAGAAAGAATGAAGGGGGTAAATTGGAGGGGGAGAGGAACCATGAGAGACTATGGACTCTGGGAAACAAACTGAGGGTTTTAGAGGGGAGGGGGGTGGGTGGATTGGTTAGCCTGGTGATGGGTATTAAGGAGGGCATTTATTGCATGGAGCACTGGGTGTTATATGCAAACAATGAATCATGGAACATTACATCAAAAACAAAGGATGTAATGTATGGTGATTAACATAGCATAATAAAAAAAATACTAATGATGTACTGTATGGTGGCTAACATAATAAAAAAAGAACAAAGGAAGCTCAAAACAAAAAAGAAAGAAAAAGAAGAACAACAACAAAAAACAAAATATGTGTTATTGGCTTGGAAATGTGCTGAGGATGGAGTAAAGTATTATTGGAGGTCAGAAAAATGGACACTTACATTGTGCAGTGTTGAAACATTTGGAAAACTGTCATTTGCTGTAATTTGGAGGACAGCTAATATATCTAATGAATTTGAAAATTTTAAAAAAATAATGTATCACACAAATATGATAATTAAGATGATTGAGAAATAATCTTGCTACATTAAAAGAATTATTTGAGAAGTGAGTAATAGCAATTACAAATCTAGAATGGAATATGTTCTTGAATTCTTGAAAACTCAGTGAAATGGAGCAAAGAATCCATTTTAGATTAATATAACCTAAAGAGATATAGTAACCTAATCAAATTAGTAAATTTTAATTGGGTCTTGATTAATAAAGTAAGTTATTTCAGGGACAACTGTGAAATATGAATATGGGCTGATATTTGATAATCCCAGAATTTTAATTTTTTTCTTGTGATAATGTTATTATAGTTAGTGAATTTCCTTATACTTCTGATACTTATAGTGAAGTATTTAGAGGTGAAATGTCATGATACATACAACTTATTTTCAAATTATTCAAGAAAATGTCTGTGTGTGGAGGGAGGAGAGGTCAAGGAACAGGAAATAAAGCAAATATATTACAATCTGGTAACAATTACTGAATCTAAGTGTAAGATGTAAGAACATTATACTATTCTTCCAATTTTTTATATGTTTAAAATTTTCCAGATAGAAAGTTATAGTTTAACTTACATGTTCACTATCAATAATAACATATATGTATTTTCTCATCATTACCATAAAATAGAAATATCATAATATAGAACAATATTCATGTTCAATCATATATAAAAATATATATTAAAAATAAATTTTACAAACTCAAATAAAATATTAAAGTATTATAAATAAATATTTAACACTTAGATATGTAAACAGTTAACAAGGAAAAACAATGCGGTAATTGATTTTCTCTGTCCAACCAGAAAAAAATTATATCTTCAGAGTTAAAAAGAGTGATCATCAGACTCCACCTTTCAAAGCAGAGCTTAAATAGTTTTGAAGATGGAAAACCTCTGAGTCCTTCATTTATCTGTAAGAGGTGGACTTATAGGCACTCCAAAATTTCTTTTCTCCTTTTCAAGCTGTACTTGATTTCCTGTCCTTCTGAATCTTCCCCATTGCTAGGTAGAAGGCATTTAAACTCAGATCCTCCTATTAGAAGTTATTAAAACTCAGTTTTGTTTCTATTTTAATTGAAATAATGTTATACTTATAATAAACCTTAAGGTTATAATATCCTTAACTGCAATGTAAGACTTTTGTTTTATATGACTGGTCACTAAATTCAGTAAAATTTAGTTGTTATTGTTTTATTTGTAATTGTTCTTCCTAACTATCCCCATTAACCGGGCACTGAGAAATTTTCTTAAAAAGCTGGTTTTAGGTTATTTACAGACCACTTCTTGGTGGTGAGAAAGAAATCCTTACTTTTGGAGTAACCAAGATTGAGCGCTAAGAAGTTTTCTTTGCCAAAAGATATGATGTCCAACTTGTACTTTTCATACCTATCAACTTCCAAGTCCAACGGTATTTGCAGATAAGCCTTAGTATAGTTATTCTTAGAATTAATACAAGGGGGAAATAATCACTTTGTGGGAATCTAGGCTATTTCTTCCAAGGATGGTGAAATGTGAAGAGTTCCTGGAAGATGGCTCAGGAGAACTCATATCAAAAATAACCTTGAAACATATTTTATTGGAGATTTATCATTAAAGCACAGCCTATTGGGGTATATTAACCAAATACCCAGGCTGCTACTTTGGTCCTTTCACCTTATCCTAAGACTGTCAGAACAAATGGGAAAGGAATAAAATGAGACCCCATACACTTTGTGAAACAAGGCAGGCTGGACAAACCTCAAAGTCCCTGAGGCCAAGGAGGGAAGTTGTCAGAGACTTGGAGAGTTGATAGCTGCTGACACTTGGTTAATCATATGTAAGTAATGAACAGTAACTATTTTATCACTGTGCAGTTATTGGGGCAATAAAATTTTTATCAGGAAACTCAATTTTTATTTGGTTTCAGTGCCTCACATTGGTCTTAGAACAGTTCCTGTTGCTTATCATGTTAGTTCTTCTAATATATTTATTGTGTATTTTATAAAGGCTATTGTTTGTTATTTATTTTCTTTTAGGATAAACTAGTCA